TCCTGAAGACGGTGCCATATCCCTAGATAAATTCTAACGACAATCTTGAAGATTGTACCATATCCCTTCTCCGCACCCTTTTGAAACAATGATTTTACTTTAAGCAATGTAGAATTTGAAGATTGTTATCTTCAGGGGGAGACGGGAAGTACATTTACTCGAGTCAATCTTGTAGATTGGTCAATCCTGTAGTTGGGTCTTAAAAGGACTAATAGTTGCACTTTTTGCAGCATATATATTCACTCGAGTCAATCCTATAGATTGAGTCTTAAAAAGACTAATAATTATAATTTTTGCAGCATATACATACCATGTACTCTTTTCCTCACTAGGTTTTTCCCAATGGGTTTTTCTAGTATGGTTTTTAACGAGGTATGAGTATGATATATTAATGGGGGGAGTTGTATATAAATACTTAAATAGACGAACCCCAAAATCCTTAAGATTATATCTTGGAGGCTTATGGTTGTACTCTTTTTCCCTTAACTAAGTTTTTCCCATGAGGTTTTTTCTTAAGTTAAGGTTTTTAACGAGGCAATCAGAACAATATATGAGTTTACAAATATCATGTACTCTTTTCTTCAACTAAGTTTTTCCCACGTGGTTTTCCTAGTGAAGTTTTTAACGAGGCATGAAGGTATTCAAATGTATAATATCCATATATACCTTGTACTCTTTTCTTGTCTAGATTTTTTCCAACAAGATTTTTCTAGCAAGTTTTTAATGAGGCAAGATCGTTAATAATAATATCCAAGGGAGAGTGTTATAAATATATTATTATGGTGGACATTATGGGCATTCAATATATAACTGTTATTGGGGTTCAGCCTTTTGGAAGAATATATAACTGTTATAACGGTCATCATTAGTATCATCATTATTATTTGTACATTATATATAGCTTGTTGTAACATTGTATCCTTGTGTAATGGAATAACTCTCCTTGTCTCTTGTTCTACCTCTCTTTGTCTCGTATATTTGCATTTATCTATATTGATCCAATCCTACAATTCACCGGTTAGGAGTTAAAGGCCAACGGTCACAAACCGTATTACAATAAAAATCAATTATTTGAGCTATTATCGTACGAAAAGCTACAAAACTCACTAGCTCAAATAACAAATGGCGTATCATGAATTGAGGCCCCACCTAAATTAATTGAGCAAATGTGACAACTTTTAATAACACAAAACAGTGATGATGATGACTATTTGGGGCGTTTGGTTCACGGAATCTTGGATTACCCCAGATAATAGGATTACCTTCAAGAAGGTAATGTGAGATTTTGGAAATGTAAGATTATCTTATGGGAACGTTTGGTTCACGGAATCTTGAATTACCCCAGGTAATAGGATTACCTCTAGGAAGGTAATGTGAGATTTTGGGAATGTAAGATTACCTTATGTGTTTGGTTTGGATTGTGGAATATAATATTACCTTATTTGGTTATGGGTTATATTTTAGGTTAGAGAAAATTTCAATTTTGGTCCTATGACTATATGAGTTTTGTTAATTTCAGTCTCTGACTTTTAAAAGTGTTAATTTAGTACTTTGACTATGCAATTTTTATTAATTTTAGTCACTCCGGTCAAATTTCGTCGAAAAATTTTAATAATTAAAATAATAGGGGTATTTTAACTTTTTGCATATTTTTTCTTCTCCTCCAGCGAATCCATCTTTTCCAGCGATAGATCACCAAATTTTATCAATGTTATCAAAGTGCACCCATTCTTCCAATGAGGGGTTGTTTCGTCACCGAGCGACAGGGAGAGAGAGCGAAGAACAGAGGTAGCTGGATCTCCTTGCTGTTGCCGGTTCATGGTGTACAGACCGTCGTAGATCGGAGGAATGGCTTCGACAGCAGCGACGAAGGCTGATTCGGTGGCGTTGAACAACGGCAATTCCGGCTTCGGTGGTGACTGTGAGACGGTGAACAATGGCTGTGCATCTAAAATTCGTCGTGGCTGACCAAGAAGATATTCAGTTCTGTGATTTTCTTCGAATATTATGGTGATTGGGTCAGTTAATGAAATGAAGCCAGTGATAGTTTATGTTTTTTACTAGTAATTCATGCACGGGAAAAAAATATGTTATTATAAATATAAATATAAAATATAAAAATTAAAATATTTTAAATTGTTTAATATAATAATATTTTTGAGCTTCCATTGGTCAAGTATTTATTATTTTTATAGAATACAAAATTAAAATTAAAATTAAAATTAAAATTTTATATGGTTAATATAATCTCTAATTATGTGCATATTCAAATAAACTTATAAAGAGAATTTATATAATTACATTGATTTATTCTTAATTGCATTTTCTCTATATTATAATTTTCACAATACGAATAATAACTAAGATAATTACATTTGGAAAGCAAATTTCAAATTTTATATGAGTAAATTTAAACTCTAATTGAACACATTTTTTATATGATTATATAATATATAGCTATTTTATTTTTCAAAAGTACATTTTTTATATGATTATATAATATATAACTATTTTATTTTTTAAATGTTGTGTTATATATCTTATCTATAATAAAGCCAGATGTATTGGCCACAAAAAATGGCTCCAATTCCCGCCCAAGCAATACGACACCGTTTGGTAAATGCGGTATTTGTGCAAAATCTCAGATATTTTACAATTTTTGAAATATTTAATTACTCCATATAAAAGATGTTATTAATGGTGTATGTTCCTGGATTAGATTTCCTAGGCAAACAATTTATTTTTCAATATGTCTTTTCTTATTTCTAGAAAATATTTATTGATAAAGAGTAATGATCTATTGTTATGCTCAAGGCGCCTGTTCAATTCTCGATATCATCTTTGCATTATATATATATATATATATATATAT